AGTATGGAGGGCCTACTCTTAGCCCAAGTTCTAAAACCTTAATTACTAATCAAATTACCCATAATTATTATTGATAGTATCATCAATATTTATTATTAATAATAACATTTCTTACAGATACATTTCTACAAAACAAAAAAAGATTCCCAGTAAGCTACAATAACAAATACCTTTATATAGGCAGCAAAGCTTTTCACAGTGCAGGGCTCTAACATTTCTTTATTCACTTTAAACCAGTCGAGTCACAGCACTTTCATGTTGTGGGTACACTTACACCTTCAAACAAGGGTCAGCCCTTTCTGTCCTTACCACAAAAAAGAGAGTCAATCAAGACTAAATGAGTCCCCAGCACCCATCAGCATGCTGGATCTTTTCGTATCACTCCAGAGCAAAATTTAGTACAGGTGATACTAAGAGTGCTTTCTTTAACACTAACTTGAAAGGGAGCAGATCAGGTTAATTCATATTTACGTTCAGCAGTAATACCCCACATTTCTGAATTGATTTCTAAGGGATAAAAAAAAAAAAAAGATTGCTTATTTGGGGGTTCAGTGAAGACTGGGAAAATCATTACTGGAGATTTTTCAATGAGGTTTGTTTTGCTAAGTTCAGCTAGATCACAGGAAGGCAGTAATGCCTTTGTAATAGCCCCAAATCAAGCACTACCCATTTTAAAATAATGAAACCTACAGCAATTACAAAAACAAACAAACCTATTTTTTCCCCCCAGAAGTCACTGCAAAGTGTTGACAAAACCAAGTACAACTGTGATGAAAACTTCTAGCATTCTTTTCTTTTCCTTGATATCTACTCATTTAAACACAGCAAGATTTTTGTTATTTCCCCCACGGTACATCTGTACCTGCAAAACTGAGGGAATATTACAAAACAAAACAAAATAGTACCTCCGAGTAATTTGAGAGAGAACACTGCAAACTATTAGATTGTGCCTTTGGGTATCAGCAACGTGTAAGTGTCCACATTCACCTACATTCTAACACCTACCTTTAATTCACACTGACAGAGAGATTCAGTAAACCTTAGTGGGACATAGAAAATAAGATGCAACAGCTTCAAACTTGCAAGGAGTTACTTTGGAAGACAAAGCTGGCATTCTCTTGGCTCACATCTGCCCAGCTTTGGTTCAGTAATACACAGTACTTAACTTTAGTTGTTTTGAGTATGTGCTAAAACACTGAAACAGGCACCAAAGTAACCTTATTAATAACACACACACAAGAAAAATCACTTCATTGTCAATACAGAATAATGTAGATGCTCCTTCAACATCAGCAACTTCCTTCAAACTGTTTAAGACTACCTCTTTCTCCCAGTCCACTGACATATAATTTAGACAAGTCCACATTCAGATAGAATAAAGTACATTTTTCACTGTATTAACAGCAGTGGGACAGGGTTCCTTACACTTACAAAACTACAAATAATTCCTTTTCCTCCATCATTACTGTCTACATCCACACCTCAGATCACTCACCAATTCAGTCCAGAGTCAGTGAGAGCTTCAGAATCTGTTTCTACCCTGAGAAACAATTTTAGTACTAAAATAAGCGAATATGCTCCCCACACAGAGCCTCATCCTCCAAATGTTCTCATATATGCATAACTCCACTAAATGTAGCTTCACTGAAATCGGGTTACTGACTGCACCAGAACTCAGCAGAATTAAAGGAGGAGGTAGGACAAGTACCTTTGGACAGGCAAGCAAGGAAGAGAAGGCACTTTTGTGCCTTGGAAAGTAACGTGGAATAGCAGTCTACCAGTTTGGCACATGCATTTCATTCTGAGATTACAGTGCTTACAAGTATGTGCAAATATAATGAAAACCAACGTACTAAGAAATGCTGCCAGTCTTTGCAAACCTTCTACAAAGTAACATCTGATTATCAGCAGTCTACTATTAATCCCCAAATGTGGGAAAACCTAAGAACTGTAAGAACAGTCGAGCATCATAAATGTACATGCGGTATGGAACCAATACACTCTAAAGGAGACAAAGGTATTTTCTTTGTTACTTTAACAAGTAACCATACAGCAGCAATAAATACATCTGGACATCACAGGTTGTTAACTTTATGTAGAACTTTTATCAGTGCTTCTTTGTCTCAAGTTCTCTACCTGAATACTTTATAACACAATACAAAGAACAATACTTACAAAACAGGCTTCCAAATTCAGTCAGTAACAAGCCTTTCAAACCTCCAGCTGTTACTACCTTTTATTAAAAGGAAAACCCTACTCCTAGGTGTTTCTAAGAGGTAGGAACAGAAAATAACATCATATTAAAACTTCTGAGCAATTACAGTGTAAAAAGACAGGAGGCTACCTGACTAAGCTTCTGCCAAGAGATACTGTACTAAGTGCTGTCTTTGATTTTAAAATTGTTAGCAGTTCTACACAGCAACTAGAACTAGATACAAAGCTTCTTCATCATTTTACAGTGTGTAGTCTACGAAGCACAGAACTTTACAGGAACACGAAATTATTAAAAAAACCCAACAATTTAAGCCTCTAAGACTGCCAATACTAGTGAAAAATCTGGAATACGGTTTCACCTTATTGAATGTTGCAGTATGTCTGAAATAAGTCAGATATACTAATTAAAAAAAGAAGAATTTAACCTTTGTAGTTTAAATAAGAACTATCATACCTGTAAAAATAAGACAGCTAACAGGTGTTACGATGCCTACTTCCAAGGAAACATGGTTCTTGGTTTCACTGTAGTCTTCCAAGCACCAAAGAACATCGCTTAGCACAATGCTCCCTTCACCAGAGTAACAACTGTTTAATTCTATGAGAAAGTAGTAATTGCTTAAATAAAGGTCAATTAAAGATAACTCACCACCATCCCTCTCTCTAACTCTGTGGGTATGCACACTTTTTGCTTTACTGTGCCCTGTGTTGTCACCGTATTTGTTTTCAGGGCTATCAGAGCGCCGCAACATTTTATTTGGTGGTGAAGGATCTGTGGTGTCTCGCATCTTGTCATGACGATGATCACCACCACTTGGGTGACTCTTGGATGAGTACTTAAGAGCCTGAAACAGATCACAAGAGAACAGGCATTTTCATTAAAGTTACAGAAAGAACGTTCTAACATCAGTCATAAATTTTAGATCTTTTTTCCAAGATACTTTTTGAAGTAATTAATTTTCATTTCCCATTTAAACAACCACCATTAGTCCTCCTAATTTTAATTACCTACATTAAAGCAACAAGTTCTGTAATTAGGACAAAACCATTTGCTCCCACCACGACATCTAACGTAACATTTGCTGTTAAAATGAGCCTAATTTCTTTTTGTTTCAGTGAGGGACTGCAAACTTTAAGCAGTAAGTGGGCCACAATACTTCTGGCACTTAAAATAAGCACAAGTGCAGCTGGTATCAAAGAAATAAACAGAAAGTTACATTTAATCAGAGTAAACTGTAAATATCCATACTGTAATGGAGACCACTTCCTTTAGCCTCTACCTTAAGCTTCTGCAGACAGACTTCAGTACTAGCAAACCCACAACAGATACGATAAAAATCTAGAATTTCTGTGGGGATGTAAGGGGACAAACACATAATGTGACAATTCATTTGGGAACTTTTACCAAAACATGTTCTGTCTCTCCTTGACCTGCTCAGTTTTGCAGAGCGAGCTTCTGAGTGGCAACTGTTTACATTACGTGAACTGTCACTGACAGCTGCCTCGGACTGTCAGATGACACTTCACAGTGAGAGAAATACTCAGAAATGTAATAAAACGGTTCAGTTACGTGCCCTAAGAAGAGCAGTGTCACAACACACGGCATTCCCCAGACTCACACCCTCCTCAGGGTATAATTTCTTTTTTTTTCCACGGACAAGGCAGAAGACGATGGGATTCGTTGTACTTAAAGTGAAGTTATTGCCAAAAGCTGGAGGATCTGATGTTTTTGAACACACCTAGCAGCTGGCAACTGTAGAAAGGAAGCCTTACCGGCAACCCCAGTTCAGGGTCTAAAATCGTGCCCTGCTCAGGTTACAGCCCGCAGCGGCACTTTTGGGGAGAAGGGCCTCGGGGAGGGGGGCGGGGGGCGAACAAGCCTCCTTTTGTTATTAGGAGAAAAACGTTCGCCTCCCCCTGGCTCTCGGCTCCTCCGCTCGTGACCCCGCCGCGCTCTCCCGCCCCTGGGCTCGCACCTCCCGGCGGCTAGGCCCCGGCCCCGCGCTAGGCCTCTCCTCCCGGCCTGGCCCTCGCAGCGGCGCGGCGGCCCCGTTCTCCCGGCTGCGGGCCGCCGCCTCGCCCCCTTTCCCCCTCCCTGTGCCCGAGAAGGCGCCGCGGGCCGGGCAGGAGCCGCGCGGGGCAGCGCGGCCTGCGGCGGCGGCCGAAGCCTGGGCCGGAGTAGCTCCCCCCCCCTTCCCTTCCCTGCCCTGCCCCGCTCCTCCTCCCGGGCCTAGCGGCCGGCGCGGCGGTACCTGGTAGGGCTGCGAGTCCCCCCTGCGGTCGTGACAGCTGCGGAGAAGGCGAGAGAAAGAGAGAGAGAGAGGCGTTAGCGAGGGCCGTTACCGGCCGCCGGGAAGGGGCCCAAACATGGCGGAGGCGGGGGGAGAGCCGCGGGGCCGAGGAGGGGATTTACCCATCACTGAGTCTCTGCTGTTTCCTCGCATACATTACCATCAATGCCCGGCCTGTGTGTGTGAGTGTGAGGGGACCAGGAAGGGACGGCCGCGGCCGGGCCACGGGCGCCGAGGGGGGAGGAGGGGAGCGGCGCTCCGCCTCGCCGCCGACCGGGGGCAGGGAGGGGGCAGGGAGGGAGGGGGCGGCTCGGCAGCTGGGCTGGGAGCGGCGCTCACGGGCCCATCTCCGCCGCGCGCAGCCTGAGGGGAGACGCCGGCAGTTCGGCCCCGCTGAGGCGCTCCGGGAGCGCGGACTCCGTCGCTGCCGCCCGCAGCCGCCTCCTCCCCCCGCTGCGCCCGCCGCCGCCGCCGCTCCTCCAACTACATCCGGGAAACTCGGGCGACGCCGCGCTCGGTTAACGTCGGCTCTTTTCGGCTCTTTCCGACGCGCTCCGTCCCCTCTGTCCCCTTTGCTCTCGGGCGACTCTGCCTTCGGCAAACATCGGCCGTCTCCGCCGAGCCCAACGCCCTTCAGTCTCTCCCTTCGGCAAACGTCGGCTTGTTCCGTAACTCTTCCCCCTTCCTCCCCCCTCCGGCCGGCCGGCCCGCCTCGTCCTCCTCTCCCGAACGCTACCTGTCTTCGGAAAACATCGGTTATTTCCGTAGAGAGGCTTTCACGCTCCCGTCAGGGTGACGCCGCCTTCGGAACCGTTCGGCTATTTCCGTGACCCCTCGCCCCGCGGCTCGGCAGCGCTCCCGCTCGGCGCGGCTGTTGGCGGGGCGCGGCCGATCGGCCGAGGGGAGCGTACGGGGGCCGCGCTGCGGGCGGGCCGCGCGAGGGGAGCCCCGCGGCTGGGCAGCCGGTGCGAGCCGAGCGGGTGGCAGCGCCAGGCAGGTGGGGGCGACGGAGGGGGGCCGCGAGGAGCGGTGAGGGCGGAGGGGGGATAGGAAAGGGAAGGTCTCCCCTCGCCTCCCCTCCTCCCCTTCCGCCCGGCGCCTTGATGTATAGGCAGGAGCCATTTTGTGTACGTCGGGCTGCGCGAGAGGCGCTCGGCAGGGAGAGGTTGTTAAAATGTCCCTTGGGAGCTGGCGGGCCGGGCCGCCTCTTGCCTTCCCTCGCAATTCCTCCCGAGGCGGCGGCAGTCGGCCGCCTCGCGCGTAGGGGGAGCGGGTGAGAGTGAGGGGCGCCGAGGGCCGGCGGGACCCCGCGGTCACGTGACTGCGCCGGGCCGGGTCCAGCGGCGGTGCACGTGTACAGCCGGTGGGGCTCGGCGGGAGCGCTGCGCCTGGCTCGGGGCACGGCGTGGGAAGGATGCGGGGCTGTTGGAGCGGGTCCGGAGGAGGCCACAGGATCGCCTGTAGAGAAAGGCTGAGGGAGCTGGGGCTGTTCGCCCTGGGGAAGAGAAAGCTCTAGGGAAATCTGATAGGGGCTTTCCAATGCTCGAAGGAGCTTGAGAATGGGAGGGAAGTAAGCTCTTTGCACGGATAGGTAATGATAGGACAAGGAAGAATAATTTTCAGCTAGAAGAGGGAGATTCAGATTAGATGTCAAGAAAATTTTTCACTGAGAGAGAGGTGAGGCCCTGGCGCTGCTGCCAAAGAAGCTGTGAGTGCCCTGTCCCTGGAGGTACTCACGGCCGGGTTGGATGTGGCTCTTGGCAGCCTGAGCTGCTGGGTGGGAGCGTTGCCCATGGCAGGGGTTTGGGACTGATAGCCTTTAAGGACCCTTCCAACCCAAACCATACTACGATGTGAAGCCCGAATCTTGTCCTGCCTCCTTTCTGATAAGAGAAGCGATACAGCACACCTCAGAACTGGCCTGCTGGCTTGTAGTAGCGCATCTTTCCCTGTGACTCTATGTGTTTGAACGTAGCATAGAGAAAACTCTTATTACATATTTTTTCTTTCTGTTTTTGTTTTTGTGTTAATGTGCAGAAGGCTGCTGCTGAGAGGAGTCCTCAGGAAGCCGTTGGAGAGTTCAGAGACAGGAGCAGAGGATGACGCAGCAGGGAGCTGTTCTTCAAGGTTACAACAACGAGCTCGTCAAGTGTATTGAAGACTTGTGTATGCAAAAAGAGGAGCTGAACAAACAGATCCAGCAAGCAGAAGAGGAAAAAAGTAAACTCCAGCATGAAATTCAAGTTCTGAATGAACAGTTGGAGTGCGTGTGTGAAAACCTGGCTCAGAAGGTAGCTTCGCGAAATGAGCTTGATAAAATTCTTGCTGAAACTGAAGCTGCTTACATGAAGATTTTGGATAGTTCCAGAACTTTGCTTAATGTCCTGAAGAAGGAAGTGGGAAGCTTAAAGCATACACCAGAACTGAAAAGTAATGTAACCTGAAGCTGTCAAATGTCTGGACTTGGCAATTCTAAAATCCCACTAGGTGAGATGTGGTCAGGCACAGAACCCTACAACAGCAGTATAAGCTGAAGGGGCTTTCTTCCAACCTTTCCACATTTCCATGATTTTTAAATGCATTAGAAAAACTGTAGATAAAACAAATGAAATAAAGTTACTGTTTTCTTATTAAAAAATTAATAATAATCTTATATAATTTCTTAAATCACTGCAAAACTATATTGTAGATGCATAACTGAACTAGATTTCAGGCTGTCGGTTTTGATGTAGTGATGCTTCAAGGCCCTTCTGAAAAACAGGAAAAATGTTTTACTGGTTAGCTTTTGGATGGTTACTGTGGAATGCCTGTTTGATAGAATATGACTTTAAATCTGGACAGAATGCTTGCATTTTTTCCATTGCTCTTTTAGTTGCATCATGGCTTCTCTGAAATCCTGCTGCCTTTCTTCCGTATGCTTTCTTTTCCCCTACATCCATGTCTAGAAAGAAGACCACTGTAGTGAATGAAAGTAGCTCAGGCACTAGTGCTTCTTGCTTTACTGTTGGGGACCAAATAGGAATTAGCTATTTAGCCTTCTCCTTAAGAAGCCTGGAGTCATCTCTGTGATACGTTTACAGCTCCTGTTCACAATCATCTCTTAGCTGGAGTTTTGGAGGGATAATTTGAGGAAAACATGATTTAAGCAGGGTACAAAAGCTTAAACTGTAAGACTGTGTCAGGTTTATGTATTTTCTGAAGCTGTACTCTAAAGCCTTGATTAGAAAGAAGTTATGCTATGGTGAGAGATGGATTTGAGTGCAAGTGGGAGGCATGCCCTTGCAGGGCACAGTGCTGCAGGGAGCTGTACCATATAAATGAGGACCAACTAATATTGGAGTAAGGCTGGAAAGAATAGTGAACAACCTGGAATGGAGAGAAATAAATGCACGTGAAGGGTCAGAATTAGATTAGTAGTAAACATGCAGCTGTTAGACATTCTTGTAGGTGAGATTAAATAGAACCAAAGTCAGAGAATAGAGAGGAGGTAAGAATATAGCAGAAATCTCTGTCTTGTTTCCATTTCTGGTACTTACTGAATACGTGTGCACATGCATTTTGTCCTGCTCATTCATGTATTACAGCAGCAGCTTTATGTTTAAATCAAGCCTTCATAACAATTCGCTAAATTGGAGGAAATGCAATTGCAATCTCTTTTCTTGATAACTGTGTCTCTCAGGTACAGGTATAAAGAGTGTGCAGATATGAATAGTTTCAGTAATAGCTCTTCACCAATAATTATAAACAAATTTTATATCCTGTTTGCCATGCTACGGGGATTAGCGAGACAGAGCTCATCAACAATTTACTTGTATAGCTTTGCCACCGGCTTCCCCTGAGTAATGCTGAGGTGATAAAATTAGATAATCTCAGGAGTACTGCTATTGTTGCAGTGCCACAGTATTCATGACAGCTTTGTTTATATTGAAGTGAAACACAAAAGCCAAAACATTGTTTCTTTTTTAGTAGCAAAAAGGTGATTTGGCTGGGATGCCTCTTGGCAGTGTCTCTCCTCTTAGTCTGGTCACAGTACTGATTAGTTTATATCAAAATAGGATATCTCAGAAAAAGTATGGACTGAACAGCAAGGACTTTTAAAAAAAAAAAAAAAAAAGCATATGTAAACTGATTCATCTTGTTATATAAAAGGGAGTTTGAAATTGCCTATGTGAAAAAACTTATATTATGGAAAGTTTGTTTACAAATTGACATAACAGTGCAGTGAATTCCTAATATGTAATGACTATTGGTTTGCTTGTCTTCAAATAATCATAAGCCATAAAAATGTATCTCCTTGCTTTATTTAGGATGCTAAAACTGAAAAAAGGAATCACAGAATCAGAGAATCACCAAGGCTGGAAAAGACCTTCAAGATCATGCAGTCCAACCAGTCACCTATCACCAATAGTTCTCACTAAACCACGTTCCTCAACACAGAATCCAACCGTTCCTTGAACACCTCCAGGGTCGGTGACTCCACCACCTCCCTGGGCAGCCCATTCCAGTGCCTGACCACTCCTTCAGAGAAGTACTATTTAAAAAAATTGAGTCTTTAAAGATGTGTACTTCGCAAGCTTTATTTCCTCAAAGTGCAGCTGTATGCTTGGAAATGTATTTAAGTTCAGATCCATAAACGGAGAGCAATAGTAGTATATCTCCAGGGCTGTTGTCAAGTGACTGCAGCCTGGCAGTCATTGTGAAGTGCACCAGTGTAGCTCAAAAATGCCTCCTGCCTTTATATTTTGTATTGATCCAAATTATTTTAGTGCATCCTATTACTGAAGTCAAAAGCTTTTTTCAAGTGCATGGGTGTTCTGTCTTTTTGTCAGAAGTCAGGTATATTGCAAATCTTGGCATAGATAGCTTTTCTTTAACAGCTTAAGTTTATTTAGAAAACAAGACTAACTAAGACATTGCTAGAATAGAACTGGTAATGTGGAGATGACAGCAGCTATGTAAGGTTAGCCTGCAAAGGAAAGTTTGCCTGAAATAAGACTGGCTATAAATCTGAAGCATCATATTTGTTCCTGGCTTTATATATATATATATTTTGTCAATTTTTATATGGCTTTGAGGGTTAGACCCAGTAAGATACGTGTCTATTACAAGCTAGAAGCTGTAATGGCAAAGTTTGTGTTACTGAACTGTGGTGCTGGATCAGAAGCTGTGCTGGGTGTGTTGTGCCTTATTTGCTGAACGAAGACGCACAGATTTTGGAATGCTTATCTGTGCTTGATTCAAAGCTTCAGTGAGATACATCCAGAGCACTGGGATCACTTCCTGTCTTAACGTCATGGTGCTTCTACCTGGCTTGCAAGTAACAGTGTGGAACTGGAGGAGAGGTGATGATTTCCCACTTTTAAAGCAATGTTTCTTAAATATGTATTTACCACATACAACTCCAGTGATCAACAGGCTTTTCAAAACATTGGAGTATTAACTCCTGCCAAGTAAACTAAGTTTATGATCTATGTGGTTAGCAAATAAACTTGGGTGCTATGTTGAAAGTAATTTTCTGTGTGGAGGTGGTTACACAAACCACTGGGTGAAGAGCTGCGAGTCACTCACCGTCCATAACTGGCAGCAGAGATGCTTCTGTTCAGTCCCCACGTGCGAATTCTGCTACTTGTGTTATAGGAATGGGGGTGAATGGGCTGCCATGGGTGCTAATTTTAGGGGTGGAAAGCAAGGGAGAAATTACAGATATACTAGGAGTTCTAGTTTGGGAAGATAAATTGTAAGAGGGCATGATAGAAATGGATGTTCACCTCCTCTTAATTTCTGTTTCAGCTGTAAGTGTATTTGTAGTGAGCCATAACCTGCAGTTCCTGCTGCCCAATAAATCCAATTTTGGATATCAACTGAGGCTGACCGTAAGTCAGAACAGCCTCCCTCGTATTTCCTCTTCCTGGACTTTTATTCTCCTGGCCAAATAAGTTGGTGTGTTCTGCTTTGCAGTGACCAGCTCCAACAGGAGGCTATTGGGAGCACTGTCCAGAGGGTCTGAGCAGAGCAATGTCCTGAGAGAGGTGATGCTTTGCCTTCCTGTAAGGTGAGAGAGCCCCAAGCCTGAGCTTGCAGCTTGTTCAGTACGTGTGCTGCCAGGCTTGTTACTGTTGTCTCCTAATTTTGTAGCTCCTAGGAACAGCAATCGGTGAACTGCTGGGTCTGACAAAGAACCCAAAATCCTGTCAGTTTATCAGATGCACTCAGTGTTCTGTTTTTTTTTTTTTTCAGATTGATCTTGAGGAATGTCAGGTTTTTGGATTCTGAACATGGTGAATGCATGTTTCCTCAGACTTGATGGAATTTTAGATGCCCAAAGAACTGTCTGTTCAAATGATGAAGCAAGCTGTAATCTAAACAGACAAGTGAGTCTTAAACTGCAATTCCAGAATTCTGTGTCTCAATTCCGTCTAGCTTTTGAGGTATAAGTGAGTCGTACTGCAAATGGATTAGGTGGATTATGTTAAATTGGAACAAGACATTTATGCTGGAACAGGAGTATTCAAAAGACTGTTAGTGAAAGGATTGAATGTCTACAGTTAATTCATGCTCTAGATGAGTTCTGTGCAGAAGACTGGTATCTATTACTCCTTAGAGGATTTTGCTTGTTGGAAGAAATTTGAGTTAGAAGATGTAGCTTGGGGCAGTTGCTGAAATTATCCTTAACTTCAAGATGTGGTTTGCATCAGTGGCTGAAATTATCCTTAATCTTGAGTAGATCCTGAGCTCTTGGATTTTTATATATGAAGTAAATAGATAATATTTTTATACTTACTTAATATTACTATACTTAATATTTTTATAAGGTTTTTCTTCTTGTGAGTGAGGATGAATAGATGGTTCAATATTGATTTGGTTGCTTTTTTAAGTTAATTGATGCATGGATATGCAGGTTTTCCTAAAATCAAAGGGCTCAATTAGCTGTTTCGTGTACCACTTACAGCAACTGCTTTATACCTTTTTTTAAAACTGGAAGCACTTAGTTTGCTCCTTGCTCCTTACTGCTTTATAAATCTGTATTTAATTCTGTGGTCTCATTATGTTACTTGATTGTTGTATTTCTCAGTTGGTTTTCAGATAAAGTTTCATGCAGTATCCCCCTTTATCTAAAAGCCAGATGTGTGCAGGGGACACATTTAGCTGGTAAAGTAATGTGATGGAGAGGTTCAAGCTTGCAGAAGAGGGGTTTATATATTGTTTCATAGCTTTATCTGATGGGATTTGTGCTGAAAGGAATGAGGTGTTTGGTTTGATATTACAAAAATGTGATTTTTATAAGGGGTAAAGGCCCGTAAAAAGCAGTTTCATTTTTGTAACAGTTTCAAAAGTAGTCTCACAAGATCTGGTGGGGTGGCACAATCAGTACGTTTGCTCTGTTTCTGCAAGACAGGGCTACAGGCACACCGCAGCTACAGCTACAGCAAATTCGACAAAATCCCTGTACGGACTTGAAAATCTCCTTTAGCTGTAGCATTGAAAATCACGGTGTCAAACACCACGTCTGAGCAGAGGAGCATTGCAGCCGGACCGTCGCCCTCTGGAGGTGTGACTGATCACAGTTCCACCGCTGGATGCAGGAGCTTCGGTTTCTCTGGCACCAAGGCACGTGAAGTCACCTTGCTGTCTATACTCAAAATAAGTTCAAATTCCTATTTTTAGTGTTATTTTTGCTGTTCTATTTTTATGAACCTCCTGATACAAGAGACCTATTCTGATCAGATGTGATTATGAATCTCTCTTCCAGAGACAAAATCTTTTTTTTTTTTTTTTTTTTTTTTTTTTTTTTGTATTCTGCATGCTTTAAATTGTTTAAAGCCTCTTTTTTTCTTGCACAGTCAGAGTGCTTGAGATGAAAACCAGCATGATAGTTGGGCTCTTGTGATGCATTTTTATGTAATTATTATTCAGAGCCGAACTGTATTAGAAGTCAGATGTTTAAAAAACAAAGGAAGCAGCAATAATTCTTCATTTGTTTATACAGTTGCCCAGTAGCAGAAATCCTGCTAGAGATTTGTGCTGCTTACTGTGCAGTTCTAAGGGGAATGCTTGCTGAAATGGACAAACCTGAGGGTCTTCTCATTAAATATAGGTCCTTCATCAAGAATAGTTACTGGCTTTACAGGAAGAGATGCCTCACCCTGAGGAGCGTGGGCCAAGGAGTGGAAGAACACTGTTGTTAGTGCAGCTCATCATAAAGGGTTATGGGACGATTCAAAGTAAGTGGTTGTAACAGTCACACTTCATAAAGCAAGCTGAAAAAGAGCAAACCCAGTCTGTGCTGACAGTCACAAGGAACGTAGTATCTGATCAAACCAAGTTAGCTTTAGAAGCAGGAGTGCAGGTCTAGCTGAAAGCAGTGCATCTGCTGCAGTGCTGGGCTCCGCAAGGGTTACCTTACCCTGCCAAACACAGCAGTGTGGATGCTGATGATATCTTGTGCACTCAGGAGTCACTGGATTGTCAGAGCCGCGCCTTCTGCCTGGTGTTTGACGTAGGATTATACATTCTCAACCTATGTATTAGAGGGAAGGACAGAAAGAACAAGGACGTGCTTTTTGCTATTATTTCATGTAGTATGCAGTGCCATGATGATATTTAAGCGTTACTCACTTCTCCATGGATACATCCAGTGTGACAAACCACCCCTGTTCCAGAGCAGCTCCTCACACTAATCAGTGCTTCCTTCTCCAGTCCCTGCTCTTAGACTTTGGGAGCTGACTGTAGGAGGTGGGTCACAGAACACACAGACTGGCCAGTCATTGCTCATTGATTACTTTCACAACTCTAATCTTGTTCAGATATCTTGTCTTCATAGATCCTGCTGTCTTTCTGATGTTCAACAAGCTACTCAATGCCTTCTGTTGGTCTATGTAAGACCACCAGGTGTTTGTACCAACATCATTTAAGGGACTTCTGAGCATTGAGGCTCTTTAATGTTTACATTCATTAGTGGATCTGCATTTGAGTCCCTTACAGCAGAGTTCTGACCGTATGTTACAGCAGCAGGCTGTATGGCAACCATTTCTACCACAGCTTTTGCTTTGGATTCATGGAATTGAAATAGCCTGGCAAGTCAGGAACTGGTGATGTGGATGGATATGGCTCTTCCACTGAGAAAATAAGTTGGTTCTATGAATCCAGTTTAAAAACCTCTTTGCTGTAGGACAGGTGACACTTGACAGCAGTATTCTCTAATTTCACACACTACAATAAATGTGTATGTGTGTGCATGGGTGTATGTATATATATGTGAAGTATTTCTGTAAGTATCAAATGTTCTAAGTAGAAGCCAGCCTGATATTTCAATACTGTCTGCCACTAGAAAGGACAACTTAAATAGATCAGTCATTAATTACTTTCATTAGGTCTTGTGCCCTCTGCTTTCAGGAATCCCCATAGCCTTGCTGCTTAAATCCTCATCTGTAGTTCCTTCCTCTTCTTCATGCTGTGTTGGCTTTTGTCAGCTGCTTTCTTTCTCCTCCTGCAGTTATCCTGGTTTCTAGCCCCTTTGCTGATCATGTTTTTAGTTATCCCAGTCTGCCAACCAGAAACACACTGCTCTTCTGCCATGTGTGAGTTAGAGATACTTCTGTTATCTTCATGTTGACCAGATGTGTTCGTGCATACTGGGGAGGAAGAAAAAATATGCAAAAAAACCCACACCAAAAACCACCTGCTTGCAAAGATAAATTGATTTCACTTCATTTGATAATGCCACAAACATTCAGGTTGGACAGGGTAAGAATTTTAGGCAGAGAAATGTTAGGGTAAGAATTATTTGGCAGAGAAATAACAGACACCTGATCTGAGAAGAGCTGTATGCTATGAAAAAATCCATGCTAACAAGATTGGCTTTTAGGCTGAGGTGTAAGTGAATGGAACCTAGCTCTCCATCTTTGTGATACACTGTGGAGATTGAAGAAAAGGTGTTTTATTTTTGTCAGTGAAAATATCCTTGTACCAGCAGTCTATAAATATGGGATGTGGTAACACATGGCCTGGGAATAATACAGGGACACCATCCAGACGTGCAGGGATGGGATCAGGAAATCCAAGGTGCAGATCAAACTGCATTTGGTGAGGGACGTGAGGAATAACAAGCAGGGGCTCTGTAGTACATTGGTCAGAAGAGACGGACAAAGGAGAGTGTATCCCCTCTGATAAATGAGAAGGGAGAACTGTCTGCAACAGACATGGAGACAGCTGAGGTACTCAGTGAGTGCCTCAGCCTTTATTGGCAGTCAGGTTTCCCATGCATATCATGTCCCTGAATGTCAAAGTGGAGTGGGGGGCAGGGGAGCAACATTCCTCCCACTGTAAGAGTGCAGCAAGACCAAGACTGCTTCATGAGACTGAATATGTACAAGTCTATGGGGTGGACAACATGCATTCCAGGGTTCTGAAGGAGCTGACTGATGTGGTTGCCAAACCCCTCTCCATCATATTTGAAAAGCTGTGGCTGTCAGGTGAAGTCCCCAGTGACTGGAAAAGAGAAACATCACGCCCATTTTTAAGAAAGTGAGAAAAGGTGGCCTGGGGAACTGTAGGCCAGTGAGCTTCACCTCTGTGCCTGGGAAATTCATGGAGCAGATTCTCCTAGAAGTGATGCTGATAGCACTGCTATATGCAGGGTGACTTGAGTTTGTGCCAGAAATGACTGCACTGTGTTTCAGCAAAGCCTATAATTGGGTTAAAAAGAGGAAAAAGGAGTACAGTGTTGGAGCTTGCAAATCAATGATCTCACTGATGAAGCCGTGTAATTCTTCATGCACTCTATCATAGAATGATCTCGTTTGGAAAGGGGCCTTGATGGTCACCTAGTTTGCTGAATGTGACCTACATTGCAAAATAAAAAACTTGTGCAAAGTTAGAGTGGGGCATGCTAGCAGTAAGGCTACTTGCAAATTGTTACGTTAAGGCACTGTATGCATTCAGCAGTTTTCTTTGTGGTCCTTCTCCACTTTACAAACTAATATATTCCTCAGCAAGGTGCATTAGAGATGAATGTTCCAGATGCAGACTGGAAAGAGAGGCAATTAACGGATGGCCTGCTGTGAAATCTCTGGGCACCAACAGTTTCTGCACAGAATTTTATAATTTTTAAGGAACTATTGGTTTTCCTGCTATGTGGGGTGACTGAATGCAAACAATTTCTGAAAGAGGAGAGCAGCTCTTTTCACAACAGCTAAAACCCTACAGGTTTGCATGTAGGTTTCTACTTTCATCAAATAGTAGCAAAGACTTGGTGACAAGCTGGTTCCTCTGGACCAGAGAAAATTCTCCTTTCTTTTATGGGCACGCATCATTTCAGCTCTGATGAGGGGAGAGCAGACTTCTGATATCTTGTGAAAGAATCCGAGGAAGAGCAGTGTCTGATGCAGGCCTCCATCACACAGAAGGGAAAGCATAAAAGGGCAAAATTGCTGGCCTTGATCTCAATTGCTGGCTTGCTGGCAGAAGTAACAAGTGAGAGGGGCTTTTTATTTTTTAATTCCCTCCCTCCTACATCATTATTGGTCTGAGTATGGAAAGAATTTTCTTTCTCTTTAAAGGTACGAATAATAATAAATGAGATAATCTGAAAAAAAGAAAAGCCAATTCCATATGGTAGGAGGGTAAAGCTGCCCCATGGGAGCTCTATTTTTCTCCTTCAGTAAAAAAAAAATAGCCATCATGCAAATTTTAAAATCCAGCAGCCATTGAAGGGGAAGGGGAAACAACAAAATGCTGTGCTTGCCTGTAACTGTGGACCAATTATTCTTCCAATAGCTGCATTCATGTGTGCAGTTCCCTGGTTACAAAGAATGTGGATTTTTGGCCTTGAGCCTGTTTATCTTAAAATCCATTTTTTGTTTATTTTAAGTGAGCTTGCTGATGCAGTACACTTATTGGTGATGATTTAGATATGAAGTTAATCTATAACTGTTAGTAAAACCATGTATTGGTTTAGCTCTGAAGCATTAAGATGACCGTTTTAACTTTACCAATGTGTTTTTTATAGTTTAAGATTTTAGTGAAGTCAGCAGCAAGCAAACACAATGAGGTGTGACTTGGCTACTGTGGACTTCAGTTATATCTTCCCTTATTGCCTTGCAGGAACACTTCCATTTTAAGTAACTTCTGCATTTGGTTATTTGGTGGGAAATGTTTTAAAGAGGTCTGAAATGTTTGTTCTAGCTAACAGCACGTGTCCTGAGTAAAGCAGCATTTTGCCTGAAGAAGCTGTGGGTGCCCCATCCCTGGAGGCATTCAAGGCCAGGCTGGATGGGGCCTTGGGCAGTCTGATCTGCTGGGTGCAGCCCTTCCCATGCCTGTGTCTGGGGTTGGAACCCAATGGGCTTGATGGGCCCTTCCAACCCAAGCTGTTCTGTGATTCTGTGAAAGCACTTCTTGTTTCTGCCTCCCGTGGAGCTCTGGTCACTGCAAGTTTCTCCTGGCTTTGGGACCATCCATGCCCGTGGTTTGGCCTCAGATCTGAAATGGAAGCTCTAAGAAAAAGCAGCTAGATTTAAATATGGCGATAGATGATGGCTTGTTGTCTCCTCTTTAATTTTACTGTTCAGAAGGGAGGTCTGAGGCACCAGGGCTGCACCGGCAGAGAATGGATTGCTACAACTGGACATGAAGAAATTATTTTCTCACATTTTTTCCAAGCTCTATCTTTGAATTTACCTGCCAAATGTGTTAAGGACAGTATTTGTCTAAGCCAGGAACTCTCACCACAGCCTCAGTTTCCCAACCCCTTAATCCCACCTGACACCAGTGAGCACATTGGACAAGGTGCTGCAGGGTGCTGGCAAGCACAGCAAGCTGGCAGTGAGAGCAAGGCAGTGATGCTGCACACAGCTGAGGCACACGGGCAGTCAGGGCAGCTGGGAGTCCCATCGCTGTTTCTGCTCTGTGTTGCTTGAGCCATTCAGTGCTGCTTTGCTGCTTGATTCTGCTCCATCAGGAGGTTCTGATTTAATTTGTAGTTGAAATAGTTTCATGAACAGAAGCAAAGCACTTAAAAACAGCAGAACAAAATTGCTGTGCTATGTCACAGAATTTCAAAGGGGTGACTTTTCCCACCTGTAACTTTCGGTTCTGGTTGTTTCCCGCATGGCAGCAATGCTGAAATACCTCTGGTGCAAAGGTAATAACAAAGCTAATTTTAAAATTCACTGGTGAGGTTGGAGATAATACTAAGAATTTAATGAATTCCAGAGATGTTTTTTAATATCACAAGGCTTACTGAGAGTCTGTGGGTCTCATACCCTGCTGGCTTTCTTGACTTTGTGGCTCCTGGTGCACAGTGCAGAGGCCCAGCACCCCAAACCCAGGTGTCCTCTTTGTTCCTCCTCCTCCCCAAAGTTGTATCCTGCTCCCAGTAGAGCAACGGTTGAAAACACAAAACCAAGGAAACATGAAAGGCTCAGAAATAACAAGCAAATATGACTAATTCTGGATCTTTTTAATGACTTAAAATAGTCTTACAGTTTGTGTCTGGCCTGACGCATGCTGTTTTGAATGCTGGGTGCTGGTCGTGCTCTGAAGTCCCACTGTTATATTTCCATCAAAAAAGATGCCATTCTGTTGGCTTTAAGAAGGGTACTCTTGCACTCCATGGTTGTAGGCACTACAGCACACCCCTTACTTTCTATCTACAAACCCTTCAGCTCCCCCCATTAGTGCCTCTGGCAGCTTCATTGTGTTCTGCAGCAGCTGTGGGTCTCAGTGGTGCTTCAGGCTGAAGATGGGGTGGGGACATCTCCAAACATCTCAATGCATTTAGCTCACTGAAATCAACACAGGAAACACAGAGCAGATTGATGACCAAAGAGAAGGTTTATCTACTAATTACAGAGCTTTCTTTGGAGCCTGAAAAGCTGAAAATATGGACACAACTTAAGCTGTGTGTGGGGCAGGAATAAGAAGGCATTTTAGGAAAACTGACATTAGAAAGGAGGGATAAGCTGTTGAGAACATCCCGAGAGATCAAGAAGAATTTTCCTGAGAGGAGGATGTCACAAGAACTGCCAGAACTGGCCATTTTAAAAAATGTTTTGTATTAAAAAATATCTGAACTCAGTACATAACTTATCACAACAGAATAGAAGTAATTAAGTCCTCGTCAGCAAAATACAGATGAATTTTTATGCCATTCCACAATTACTCCTGACAAATGTTTTTAATTTGGCCAAAACAATAGCAAGGAGGCTCTGTGAGTGTCATAATAAGAGATCTAGACCTGAATGATTTGTTTCAGACATCGCCAAGAGGGGACAATAGGAGGGACCAGGATGAAAACATAGAAAACAATGAATGGGGCCACTCATAATTTTGGCTCTCATCTTTCATTAATAAATCTCATGGTAGTTTGTGGTTTTCTTGGAGTTTCAGCTCCCAGATTCATGGAGTAAATAAGAACCTGCATTGTCATTGCAGAAAAACAAGTTTCTAATTTTCACCATTACAAGAAAACTTAAACTAGTACAGAGCAAGAAAAGAAACCACTTTCAGTTCTGATCTGGAAAAACAGCCAGGGATAATGCAGAACCGCCCTGCTGCCCTCCTGAAGTGGCAGCGGTGAGAAGCATCGCCCATTGTCCTCCATCCCTTTGCCCACCCCCAACCCAAAAGCTGCCACTGTTCTCTATTGTTTGCTCTCCTCTCTCTGTAAACCAGCAGGGCTCGAAGAAGAGGGACCCAGCTCTCCTCGTTAGGATAATTGGGCTGATTTATGAGCACAAGATGCAGCTCGCGGGCTGCAGTGTTCCCACTGAGTCGAGGTGCCCACTGCCCACCTGGGCTCTCAAATTTCTGCTTGTTTCACACAAAGAAAATATAGAGGGAGATACAGGTATAATTTTTTTTTTCCTTCACAGGGTACTCCTTGCAAGCCCCAAATCCCAAGATAATATGAAAGTCTAATTAAAATACTAATGGAAAGGGGGAAAATCCCATGATGGACCCTTCCTTCGCATCAACTGAGTAGAAATTTTGGCTTGTAAAACACTCCCTGAGGACTGACTACATCACAGCAATACTGAAAGCCGGTGCTGCTTCATTCCCCTCCTGCACCTGTGACAGTTTGCATTACTTTTTGGAAAGGATATGGACTAGGATTTACAGAATGTCCTTTTTTCAACAAAAATGTTACAAGTGTCCTTTATTAATTGCTCCATTTCTTGGTAGCTCCATGGGCAAATACAGTGCACATCCCCCGCTTCCCTGAGAGGTGTTTATGGTCACCTTCACCAAAGAACCATACCCAGCACAGGCCTCTGCTAACTGGAGGCATTTATAGTGCTGACAGGTAATGGAATCATTTTGTGATTTGTGCTGCTAGTGCTTTGGTGAATTGTAATATCTTGTCTGAGGGCAAGCTGATGGTACCAGCTTCAGGAGTGGTTATTCATGTTTCAGGAGTGGTTATTCACAGTCAAGAGCCCTCCACACTGTAAAGCCCCTGCATGGCCTTTGAAGAGCCTCAGTGAACCTGAGGAGCTCACGGTATAACCAAGGCAGAGAAGCCAAAGCAACAAGGGAACGAAGCACGTTATGAATAGACATGAGAAACCCACTGTTGTGTGCCAAAGTGCCTGTATCACACACTGCCTTGATGTATCACAAAAGCAAATCAGCGCTGCTATTTTCTGCCACCTCCATACTGCCATATTTTCTGCCACCTCCATCAGATGCACTTGGTGCTTGCCAGACACAGAGCAGAACTCCCCTTCAAGTCTGAAGCAGGAAAGAGGTGATGGTGGTACCCAGTGGGACCTGGGTTCTTCACTGCAGTCAGAAAATCTTTGGCACTTACCAATGCCTGTTCATTCTGTGCTCACCAGGAAACAGAAAGTGACAAAAAATCTACCCAAGCCACAGCTTTATTGTTCAGAACTCAATGCCTGGATACATAAATACACAACCTGACTTTTTCTGCCTCCAGACACAGAGATTTCACTGCTGGACATGGGGTGCTGCCATGGGAAGGGCTTGGTACCGATAGTGGTCATCTGTGTGGAAAAGCCATGGCTGTAAACAGAGAAACGGTTAAAATCCTGTGCAGTGTGCCCCTCTCCTAAACGATCACACTGTACTTGTTTTCCCTTTCTCTTCTCAAAATTGCTGCCTTGGGGAGGTAAAGAATTACCATTGCCATAAACCGTAATCAGGATCAGATGTGCTGAGGGAAAGGCCTCGCTCAAATATCAAAGAGGCCTTAAGCTGCCAAAACACAGCAGAGGCAGGAATCCCCAGGGAATCAGAGCTGTAATTTGCGCCTGACCTTGATTCTAACCAGGAGATGCAGTGGCCCCATGAAAGCAAGTTTTGTTCCATTTGGGGATCCTCATGGCCGTGGTGCAGGTCACAGCACCAGGTGCCATGCAGGGCTGACGGCCACCCACCTGCTCCAGGGATGTTCTTCTATGCCAAGCTCCTTGCAGCAGCAACAGCGGTCCTGTCGGCCCTCTGGGGCAGTGGCACTCCAGCACTGCCAGTGTTCTCATTGTGCAGCTGTTGTCTGGATTTGGAAGCAAGGGAGATAAGGGAGATGGTTAGTGGGTATGGAGGTGATGGGTTGGGGATTGCACTAGATGGTCTTAGAGGTCTTTTCCAACCTTAACGATTCTGTGATTCTCTAACTGTGAGGAGGCTGTGATATCTGGATCAGCTCTCAGCCATTCAATCATAACATCAAACATTCCAAGAGAAAACAGACTGATGTCAGCTCTGCAGCCTAAGGTGGAACACAGCAAGTGCCTCAGCCCTGCAGGCTCTGCCTCCCTCCTCCATTCCCCAGAACAGTGTTCAGCTCTAAGCTTCCAAAAACCTCATTCTAAAATCCAGCTCTGAGCTTCCCTTTGCAATAGGTGCACAAGGCATGCTGAGCTTATGGGGGATTAAAAAGCTTATTTTCTGTAATTCTGCCTCACGTTTACCAGGGACTAAAAGGAGTGGTGCTTAGATGCCTGCTAAGTTAAACCAAATGAGTCCTTGAGGTGTCTTCTTGTGAGGTGATCTACACCAAGGTTGCATGGAGCCTCTGGGCTGGTTGTAATGGGGTGTTTTGCCACTCCTTCCCAGTTGGGCTCACTTCAGTCTCCAATACAGCCATACAGCCATGGCTCCATCCGGCTCAGCCCCAGACAGCAGCTGTGTGCACAGCACTGGGCTGTGCCCAACCAGCCTGCCTGCCAGACATGGCCCTTCGGGTAGAAGACCTCCTGCAGTTAATGGAATGGAAGAATTCAGGTTATCTTCCATTGCTGCAATGTGGTGTTTTCCAACACAAGATACATCCATGCACAGCAAATACCGAGATGTCTGCAATAATTTAACATCAGTTTGGAAACAGATGGGATTTCGAGCACATTCCCCATCAGCAGCACTGGATCTGAGGGGAGCAGGATTGCAGCCACTGCTGTTTTAGGGGCTCGCTCTTCCCCTGCATCTCCTTTGCTAAGAAGGGATAAAATCTGATGCACAGTTTGTCTGCAATCGGCCAGCAGATCAAACAATTCACCTTGTCACATACAGCATGTCTCTGCTGCCTTCAGCATTTATTTTGCAAAACGTACATCTGCAGAAGAACTCGCGCAGACAACTGTGAGGAAAGCTTCAAATCACACGCTGGTGAGAAACAGTACGTACTTGTGGTGTGACAGAACTAATGCCAATGACACCAGTGAACGTACGACCCGTCCCTACCGCCCCGTCCCACCCGCGCACCTATTCCTGAGCCCTGCCACATCACGTCGCCATAGGGCTGCACGACCCGACGCCACCGACCCACCCGCCGTCCCCCGCGGCTCCGCCATAACTGGGCAGGAGCGCCACTGCGCATGTCCGGTGTCCGGCCGCGCTGCCGCCCGCCAGCAGAGGGGGTGAGGGAGCCGCGGCGCTGCGGGGCCGTGGGCGGGATGCGGGGGCAGGTCAGCGGCGTCGGGCGGGTTACAGCGCCGCGCTCTTGCTCGTCTGTTTTTGGCTTGTTTGTTTTTTGAGATTTGCAGTTTCAAACAACTGAATCAGAGTCAGAATATCCCAAGTTGGAGGGACCCACGTGGATCACTGAGCGCAGCCCCCGGCTCCACACAGCATCACCCAAACGCAACATCCAATATCGCTGTCCAGATGCTCCTTGAACTCCAGCACTCAGGGCCGTGCCCACCGCCCTCTGGTGCAGAACCATTCCCTGAGCCCAGCTGCCCTCCCCTCACACAGCTCCATGCCGTTCCCTCAGCCCTGTCGCTGTCACACAGAGCAGAGCTCAGCGCTGCCCTCCGCTCCCTGTGAGGAGCTGCAGCCGCCATCAGGCCTCCCCTCAGCTCCTCTGCTCTGGGCTGAGCGCAGCCAGGCACCTCAGCTGCTCCTCACACATCTTGTCCTCCAGACCCTTCACCACCTCCTTTGGATGCTCTCTAATAGTTTTATGTCCTTATATTGCTGGGCCAGACTGCACCCAGTGCTGGAGCTGAGGCCACACAGAGCAGCGCAGACAGCCCCTCCCTCACCCGCTGGCAGTGCTGGGCCTGGTGCACCCCAGGGCACAGTTGGCCCTTTGGCTGCCAGGGCACATTGCTGGCTCACATTCACTTTGCCATCATCCAGAGCCCCCGGATCCCTTCTGCAGGGCTGCCCTCCAGCCTCTCATCCTCCAGTCCATACGTGTAATCTGGGGCTGCCCCATTCCAGGTGCCAAATCTGGCACTTGCTCTTGTTAAACTGAAAGCGGTTGGTGACTGCTCTGCCATCCTATTTGTCCAGGTCTCTCTGCAAAGCCCCTCTCTCCAAGAGAACTGAGATGCAGCTTGCTCTCGAAAAGTGCTACAGAGAAAACAGACCATAGGAAGGGACCAATCATTTTAAAAGATTCGTATGTATGAACAAGCAAATGCAATGTTTCATATCAATGTTTTTTTCTGCTCTTGTTCATGAGTGTTGTAAATACTTTTGGAATTTTCATCCATTGTTATGTTGTGCAAAATTTAATTAAGGACACTCCAGGGAGGGCAGAATTGCTGTGTCCTTTAAACAGAAAGGGTAATTGAAGCATATGGCTTACAGTAAGGCCTGCATCCATCTCACCCAATTATAAGGCATCTAAGAGAGGTCAGACTTAGAAGCTGGCTTGTCTTTGCTTCCCTCTAGAGTCAATGGATAGACCTGCCATCTCCAAATGGTGATCCAGCAGACAGACACCAAAAATCCATGCAACTAACTCCATTAAAAAAATAATAATAATAATTCAGATTTAGGGGAGTGTATGATACATCATTTAAAAATTATTTATATCTGTAATTGTGATGCTTAACTCAAATTGTAAACTGTGAAGTAAAAGTCCTTACTCTTACTTATCTTGTTAAGAAGCGCAGAAGATGCCCCATAGGTGCAATGTTCCTGTGAACACCCATTAAGGGCTGAGATAAATAATCCTCAGGCACAACTGTTGTGGATGGGCTCCCAAAACCTGCAAGTAGATCCAGGAAATACCTCAGGAGAGCAGAAAGGTCACAGGCAACAAGCTGTAAGTCTTGCTCATAGCAGACCGAGTTCTGCTCTCCTGAATTACACTTGATTTAACTATGTTTATAATAAACAAACAGCAAATGCTAGGGCAGAGTGGGAATGTGTGCAACCTGCTCGTTCCTGCCAGAGGCTGCAGCATTCCACCAACACCCTGTGGATTCCTCTGCTGCCTGGGATTCCTCATCCCTTACTGATTTGACACTTCCTTTGCTGTTTCTGGGATCACGGTGAGTACATTTTAAATGTTCATCTTTTGCACCTCACTTCCTGTAGTACTGCATCTGCCTTTTGGCTCAAGGCTGCAATTACAGAGATGTTGAACAGCTCAACAAAATCCATCCTTAATTCTTGGGAGCTTTTAGAAGTCCTAAGGGACATCTGCCTACATGTTGAGGCACCTAAAATCCTTTTGCAGTCCATCCTTGCTTAGGCCAGTGGCTGCTTCATCCCTCCAGCTGCCTGCTGGCAGTGCAGAGGCAGGTTTCAAATCAGCTTTTACAGCAGCAGGCAGCCTGATGGCAGCAGCTCACAGTCCTTTTTTTCACAGGTTCAGCATCTTTTTGCATTTGAGTTTTTTTCCATGTTCTGTGCTGGAACTGCTGTATGAAGAGCTGCAAGAATACAGCCTACTGTTTCTGTCAGCTAGAAGGGGGGCAGCTCAGCAGAAGGTAAACACTGCACCGATCAAGTTAGGAAATATTTTATTAGGAGAGCCATGCTTCTGTTGCACAATTGGCCACTAGCACTGTTGAGGGTGTTGCCAGAGGAGAGAAAATCCTAGCCTGCCCACTACCCAACCTGGCTAGTGTGCGCTCTCATGCAGTCCAACCTGACCAACCTTATCTGCATCTGTCTGTCCTCTGCACAGCTGCAGGGGTGAGAGCTCAGCAAATCCCCAGGACTGTTCTCAAGGCATCCCAGGGCTTTCTGCCTCAGTCTGCTTACATATATAAGGCTTTCTTCCTACAGGAGCCACAGGTCTGTGGGGAAGGGGTGCTTCTGAGACTCTCTGGTGCCAGTTTTGATTCTTCTGTGCCATGGCTTGTTTGTAATGGTCACTGCTTGGGCAAAGTGAACACTGCTGCCCTTGGCAGAGATGGAAGTTAGCGAACATTGTAAATCTCTTTATTTTCCAGAGTTGTTCCTTCATATCTCATGTTTTCCACAGCAGCAAATACAGATGCAAATCTCCACACTGTAACTGGCATGCTGTGCTGCATCCTTGTCCTATTGTCATAGGCCCATTCAGTTTAACCCACACATGTGAACCTTCCCCATCACAGACTTTTGCAGCGAAGCCACAAGCTTGCACCTTTCCTCTATCTCTCTCCTGTATTTCAGCAGTCAGAGGCAAAACTGGCTGTTCCTTTGATTTGCTGATCAGCAGCATCTGATGTGTCAGGCAATAGTAAGAACTGCTCAGCAGGGATCCTCATATCCTGCATTTCAGGGCTTCACATTCTGTGGTGCCAGACCTCCCTGCCTCATCTCAGCACAACTCTGAATCACTGTTAGTATAGAAGTGAACCTTGACTTGGGCAGTTTCCTCTCTGACATTTGCCCTCTTGTTAAGACAAGCATTTATGGTATCAGAAGTAGTTATGAAAAAAAGAATACAGCAGATGGGAAAAATGGCAACAGCAATTCAAAGAGGAAGTGGTCAGTATTTGCTCAAAACTTTGCATAACAGCACTTCTCTTCGTTCCGTGACTAGGGAAAACCTATTACAGCAGCTAGGAAACAGAAACATTTCTTTCTGTTTCTGAGCATGAGAACCAGACTCCTCATTGCCAAAAGCTGCCCAGCATGTTGTATTCAGTTGTGTGCTTAGGCTGCAATAGTTCTTTGCACCATGAGTAAAATGCAGCGTGTGTAATTAGACATTGCAATCTGCTGAAGGGCCCTGTGTTAGCTAAGTCCCATTTAGCTCCTACTTTCTGCGAGGCCTTGTTTTCTTTACAAAAGGGTAAATTCCACTGGTATTTCATTTCCTATTTTTATTCTCATTTTTGCAAATTAGAAGTTTGGTGCTTTGAGGATGTGAGTGGCTTCTGAAGAAGAATATTTTGACGATAAGCATGACCACCAGGTGGGGAGAAGAAGGGATACGCTCTCCAGTGGTGGTGCCATGCTCTGTGCCAGACCGAGGAAGGGATCACAGGGCTGAAACCCACCAGAAACTGCCTCCAGCACAGTGCCAGGCCTGCTTGC